TCACTCCGGAAAATCCGAATTTTCGGGACCACTGATAACGTTCCCGAAACCTAAAGTTTCAGGAACGGAGTCAGCGCTCCCGAAACCGTTGCCGAAACGGAAGGTTTCGGGAATGGTTTCCGACCACCCGAAACCTTCCGTTTCGGGAACGGTGTCGGCTGCATTGAAACTGCTCCTGAAACCTTTGGTTTCGGGAACGGTTTCTGGAGAGCCGAAACAATAGGTTTCGGCTCTCCAGAAACCGTTGCCGATACTTTTGTTCTCGGGAACGGATTTGATGTCCCCGAAACAATAAGTATCGGCAACAGTTTCGGCGCGCTGGAACCTGTTCCCGAAACCTAAGGTTTCAGGAGCACTGAAGCCTAACTGCAGCTGAGCTGCAGCTCAGAGGCAGCTCAGCTGCAGCTTGCATAAAATTCAGAGGCAACTCATTAAAATCCAGTGGCAGCTGAGCTGCAGCTTAATTGAAACAAATTATTTACGAACCTCAACAGAATTACATTCACTTGAAGTGTATACATATAGCTCCAACTGCAAAAAAAGTCAAACTTAACTTGCGGGGTCATCAAAGAAAATGGCTTGTAAAAAGAGGCTCAGCTTAGATCAGTTGACCAAAAGAGAGAAGAATGAGACAAGACGAATGATTATTTCGTTGCTAGGGTGACTTCCCGTAAGCATTAAATATTCGTGAGGAATATTTTTGCAATTTCCGCCGTGATGCCGAGCAACCTGTCAGGACCCCATCAAATGCATCACCCAAAAGCGGCTGCGATTTATTCTCGCATCACTCGAAATATGTTGAATCTAGACGAGGGGTAGGGACCCCTCGTCTAGACTTTCTTTTCCTCGAATATCTCTTTTGGGGCAGAAATGATTGATCGTCACTCATTGTCACTTTGGTCACAAACTCTCTGCCATACCACAGGCTTAAGTATCGCTGATTTCTCGAGGTCCTGGACTCCTGGCTTTCCCCCAAGTACCATACATTGACTGCAGACAAAAAATCTGCTCTTTTAGATGACGATAATTCATATCTCAGTAAAGTCATTTTTTTGAGAAGATCTGTTCTAACGCCGTCGTCGCGCTTCCTCAATATGCCGACACAGTGCTAGGGACATTCTGGGGTGAGCTGGTCGGTTGGTTGTGTACCATCAATGTATAAAAAAATTATTTTTCTTACGGGAAATACAGACGGCGTGAATATCCAGCCCACTGATCGTATCACTGGCACCCTCGGTTAAGCTCAGAAAATGTGCCAGAATATTTAAATCTTACGGGAAGTCACCCAGTTTACATTTGTACACACGTTTGTTTTAAATTTTTGTTTTAATTAAGCTGCCGCTGACTTTTATGAGTTGTCTCTGAATTTTATGCAAGCTGCAGCTGAGCTGCCTCTGAGCTGCAGCTCAGCTGCAGTTAGGCTTCAGTGCTCCTGAAACCTTAGGTTTCGGGAACAGGTTCCGGCGCGCCGAAACCGTTGCCGATACTTATTGTTTCGGGGACATCGAATCCGTTCCCGAGAACAAAAGTATCGGCAACGGTTTCTGGAGAGCCGAAACCTTTTGTTTCGGCTCTCCAGAAACCATTCCCGAAACCAAAGGTTTCAGGAGCAGTTTCAATGAAGCCGACACCGTTCCCGAAACGGAAGGTTTCGGGTGGTCGGAAACCATTCCCGAAACCTTCCGTTTCGGGAACGGTTTCTGCGCTGCCGAAACCTTTGGTTTCGGCAACGGGTTCGGGAGCACCGACTCCGTTCCTTGAAACTGTAGGTTTCGGGAACGTTATCAGGGGCCCCGAAAATTCGGATTTTCCGGAGTGGTTCGATACGTACCGAGATGTTCCCACGGTTCAAAAATATGTTTTTTTTTTACTCACTCAAAGACAGTGCATTTACATAAACTGCCCAACAAGGTATGCACACCGGGGGCAAAGAACGTGTTTTACATGTCATGAACAAGTCTATTTCGCATCCAGTGTCACAGTGTGATGGCTCACACAAAGGTGGTTTGTAGGAGCAAAGGGGCACAAAGAAGGGACAAAGGACCTTTGTCGACTAATGTAAGCTGTCACACTGGATGCAAAATTGATTCGTCGACAGCATATCAAACGACAGGCATCGTTCTTTGCCCCCAGTGTCAGTATGCAATCTGACTGGACAAGGTATTGAAGGCTTTACACAAATAGGAAGTTTATCCGAAATTGTACTTGCGATAATAAGGATAATACAAAACCACCATTCATCCGGGCCATCTCATACACATTCCCCGTCTTTCTCTTCAGCCGACTGTGGCTTAATATCGAGTACCTCACAAGGTTGGTATGGCCGCACTACTGCCAAGCGGGAGGTGGATGGAACTTGGCGGACATGTTCCTTGGGTTGACTGTAATCTGTATTGTTTAAGCCAACGTAGACAAGTGTGAACGTGGGTATTATGTTCTGCAAGATAATCAAGTTAGATCAAACCAAAACTGTACTGACTGACGATCAGCTGCTGCGCAATGCTGAGCCCGATGGCGAATATTTCCTCATCATATAGCGAGGCAGTAATGACCAGGAATATTGCCGTAATGCAATAGATTGCGCCAGACTCGAGTCTGCAAAGACATGTCAGAGGATACTAGACCCTACCACATAAGATCTCATACATGATTCCAATGGCCATGCTATAACGACTACGGAGTGTGCGGTCAAGACCAACATGCGATGCTGCACGCCGGATCCATAATATCCGACCAGCTGCCGGAGGCTTTCAGCATTGAATGTGGACAATCGAGTATATTGACTTGCCGGTGAGAGCTGTGAGAGCTAAATTTGTTACAACAGACATGCTGAGTGTGATCTGTAGAGTGCTAGTGCTGAATTTTGCTGCAGCGGACGCCACGATCCCCACAACTACACAAAAACCAACCAGTGCCATCCAGCAGTAGTTTAAAGTTGGGAAAGCAACTCACCGAAGGTAGATAGTATGAGCAGCGCAGGCACGAGGAGTATCTTCCTTTGGGATCCCCATATCACATAGCAGCGATACAACTAAAGTCCATATCAGTCTACGTACACACACAGCAGATGAGAAAACTCAACGAAAAGGGAATCTGCCACGAAACTAGTGCCTGGGCTGAGTCCCATTTCAAAGAGGAGATTGCCTTGACTCACCTGTTTATAACCAAGGTGAAATCCCTTATGGTCCTCAGGCTCAGCACTGAAAACTCGGACAGGGCCTTGTCCTCCTTCAAGAGTTGTGAGTGCACAACTTGTTGGACAAAGCGAGCTTTTAAAACACTCTGGGCAATAGTGAATGTCATTTGCGCCGTTCCCAAAACAGCCATAATGCAACTTATGACTATGAGAAGTTTTATTCCAGGGGATTTTCGACGACAGAAGAGGAGGTAGATGGTGAGAAAAAAGAGGGAGATGTAGATGCCTGCGACCCAACTCAATTAGCAGCCAAGCACGATGTAGGATACGACCCACCGTAGAGCAGGAGAGAAACCTAGCCGTTTATCAGACAATGGCCTTCAGATTTATGGTACTCACCCCCATTTGCAAGAAGAGTTCCATCATGACATCCCAGTCACCGTCGAATTGCTCAGGGTCTACGATGTATTGCATCACGGTTATTGAGACTGAAGAATGAAAGCGCCCTGGAAGTGTCCAAAGATGAATATGATCCCCCAGGCTAGGATCTTGTTGTTGCTAAACTTCGAATGGGAGATGAAATCAAAGGTGAATGAAAGCGCGACAAACCGCATCGACCCTATTTATGAGGCCCTTGTGGCGCAAGGCAGTACTAGTGCCACCACATTCTAACGTCTGCATTGCTCAACTGGGCACCAGCATCTTCCTCGGTAGGTTACGTGGAAACAAACAGTTCCCACCCCGATCCCATGTCTGACCGATGTCGAAATAGTAATGGTTTCGGATTCGATGTGCTATCGGCAGACCGGCAGGTATACATTATCAACAAAGTACAGCCTAGTATCCAAAATTGATGCGCAATAGGCGATAGGCGTTTAGCAGTCTAAAATGCCGGTTGAATGTTTTAGCTTGCGAAATCTGCAGATCACCCAATTATTAGCGATGGTTCGCATGGTTAGTTCACTGGAAACAAGCGGCGTGTATAGCGACAAACAAGTCCTTCCTGCGGATATCTAAGCAGGGTACTTATCAACCAGGATCGGCAGATCTTTTGGGGATTGAATCAAAATAATCAGGCAAACTGACACCGATGGGTCGAAGCAGGCAAACCAAACTGAAATTGGCAAGCAATCGTTGACCAGAGATGGCGCCAGAGTTAGTCTCCATAAACAGATGATACTTGAGCGGTGGTATTTCAGACCCTGGGAATCAAACCCAGGTCTCCCGCTTATTAGGTAGCTTCGCTCGTAATTCTGAGCGGGCGTGCACCATGCCACAACGTTCGAGTTAACTCCTCCGATTCGTGGTTGAATATGGAGGTAATATTTGAGCTGTCAATTTCAACACTGACCATTTCCGTACAAGAAATACCCTTCCGTACCCCCTCCCAGCGAGGATAGATTCTAGAATCCAGAATTATGAGAGTGAGTTGGAGCGAGGAAAAACGACTGGCTACTAGTACTTTGAACTGATTGCTAGTTCTCTTTTCTTTTTTTCCAAAAAAAAACAAACAAGTTCCCTGACCAGTATTCGGAGACTGGGAGTCGAACTCAGGCCTCCCGCTTCATGAACCACATGTTCGGTTCTATTGCGAGCGGGCATGTACTATACACTACGTCCGAATTATCATTCACCTTAGATGCTTGAATACACAGGTGAGATTTTAGCAGGAGATCAATTTCAACGCTGACCCTCATCTGGGCTTGGACAAACTTAATATATCCCCACACGTCCCACTGGCAGCGAGGATGGAATTCCGACATATGGGAGTGAGAATCTAAACATTTCTTTTGAAAAGCCAAGTTGAACTGATTGCTAATTATCTTTTCTTTCTTCAAAAAGAAAAATTTCTCACAACCCCTAGTTCGGACGCTGGGAGTCGAACCCAGGTCTCCCGCTTTGTTGACTAATCATACCATTTCCCCATTACCCACGGGCGTGCACCATGCACCACGTCCGAATTACCCTTTCTCTTTCGTGCTTGAATACGTAGGCAAGATTTGAGCTTGCGAACAGCGCCGCGGCTGCCTCCCCGTCCCTCATAGGTTTCGACTTGGACAAATTTATCTCCGCACCTTCCAGCGAAGAAACTTGAGCGTGAATAGGAATAGTAAGAATCTTTGCTCAGGGAAAGAATGAGTAAGGGATGGGGGAAAAAAAAACGTGGGTACACGGGTATTCGGACGCCGGGAATCGAACCCAGTTGTCCTGCTTATTGACCAGAGAGTCTGTTTTGGCATCAAGCGGCAGCAGGCGTCAGTGTTGTCTGAGGCCAGGCCGAGAGTCAAAAAGGTCTGACCCATTTGACCGTTTGACTGGGGTCTGACCGGGTCTGACCCTCGGCCTGACCCTTTCCAAATTTGGAAAAGTCCTTCGTTGCAACTGTTAAGGGTCGTGTGCAATGCTAGCAAGCTTTACCTGACCACAATCCGAGGTTCTAAGTGGTCAGGACGAATTTCACCTGCCTACAGTATCAATTTTCAAAGATAGTCAGATATACTGGTTTGGAAAACTGCTATGTGAACGACAGGGCAACCCCATATCCAAATGCACCCAGAATGGCCTGTGAAAAGCTCCATAGTGATACTGATGTCAGATCATGAATTAATGTAACATGTGTATGGCTCAAAACTGCTGCGGGATGGTCAGAATTCAAAATCGGTCAAAGGAATCAATGTTGTCTTTGAAATGAGAAATGTGGCATAATCTGGCAATGTATGGCAAAGACCATCTGTTCAATTGTACCCACACTGCACACCTGAAAGGCACTTTGAACATCCAAAGAATGATGCGGAGAGCTTCAAACATGCTCCGAGTCATGGCCAGGGTGGGATAAAGAACTTCCGAGTGAGTTCGCATTATAGGATCGCTTGGTAGACGATATTGACTCGTATATCCATTCTCCCAATGATCCGCTTTTTTTCCTGATTTTTCTGGTGGTTCTACGAGTTTAAAACGGGTCTTCCAAAAAAGGAAATCCGGCCTTGACGAAACGGTCAAAGACCGGTCAAGGGGTCTTGACACCCGGTCAGACCCCGTCAGACCCCGTCAAAGACAACACTGGCAGGCGTGCACCATGCACCACGTCCGAGGTATCCTTTAGCCTTGGTGGCTGAATACACACTGTAACACAGGTAATAATTGAGCTAGCAAACAGCGCTGACTCTCAAACCTCGGCTTGGACCCGGACGACATCTCTGCAGTGCGCACCTCCCAGCAGGCTGAAGTTTGAAATATAGGAGCGTGTTTAGTGAGAAGCTAGAGCGAAGCACACATACTTTGGAAGGATGGACCAGGTTGAACCGAGTCCTTCCCTTTTTTTGAAAAAAGAAAGGGAAAAACACAGCATCAAAGGTCAGTTCGGACGCTGGGAATCGAAGCTAGGTCTAGGTATGTACAATGGAATTATACAGTGTCTATGTAGATGTACGATGTGCGGAGCGAGACTGGGTGCAGGCGAGGCGGGGTGTCGCGGGTAGATGTGGGTAGGTGTAGATGGGCGTAGATATGGCGGGGATGGGTGGCGAAATCACAGGCAGACGTCGCGCACCTCAATACGATCTCCCCCGACTCAAACTCCTTCCCTTCCCATCTCTACTCCCCTTCCCTTCCCTGCTCCCGCTCCCCCTCGTATCCCTACTCCCCCTCATCTCCCTATCCCAACTCGTATCCCAACTCGCACTCCTCTCCCTCTTCTCCCCCCGCTCAACTCAAAGCCAAACACCCACCCTCTTCAGCAGCGGTACCTCCTTCGTTGGGCTCCTCACCGCTTGCGGCTGCGGTTGATTAAACAGCGCGGGTACCCCTGCGCGCAGCCCGGTGCAGGCACAAGCCCAGTATGGCACACATATCCCTTCTGCCCTGGGCGGGCGTGGGGTACGGATACATGCTCGTGCGCATGGGCTGCGGCTGCGGCGCAAGCGAGGCCTGGAACGAGTAGCTGCACGTCCATACTGGCTGCCCCGGGCCCGGTTGGGGCATCGGCATCGCCATTTGGGATGGAGGGAGCGCGCACGAGGACGGGCGCGAGTGGTGGTGTGTCTGGGGTTGGGGTTGCGGTGTGTACTGTCCTGACGGCGCGATGGAATAGTACGCGGCGCCCGCGGGGGGGTAGAACCAGTGTTGTCTTTGACGGGGTTTGACGGGGTCTGACTGGGCGTCAAGACCCCTTGACCGGCCTTTGACCGTTTCGTCAAGGCCGGATTTCATTTTTTGGAATACCCGTTTTAAACTCGTAGAACCACCAGAAAATTAGGAAAAAAAATCGGATCATTGGGAGAATGGATATACGAGTCGATATCGTCTACCAAGCGATCCTATAATGCAAACTCACTCGGAAGTTCTTTATCCCACCCTGGCCATGACTCGAAGCATGTTTGAAGCTCTCCGCGTCATTCTTTGGATGTTCAAAGTGCCCTTCAGGTGTGCAGTGTGAGTAAAATTGAACAGATGATCTTTGCCATACGTCGTCAGATTATGCCACATTTCTCATTTCAAAGACAACATTGATTCCTTTGACCGATTTTGAATTCTGGCCATCCCGCAGCAGTTTTGAGCCATACACATGTTACATTAATTCATGATCTGACATCAGTATGACTATGGAGCTTTTCACAGGCCATTCGGGGTGCATTTGGATATGGGGTTGCCCTGTCGTTCACATAGCAGTTTTCCAAACCAGTAAATCTGACTACTTTTGAAAATTGATACTGTAGGTGGGCGAAATTCGTCCTGACCACTTAGAACCTCGGATTGCGGTCAGGTAAGGCTTGCTAGCATTGCACACGACCCTTAACGGTTGTAACGAAGGACTTTTCCAAATTTGGAAAGGGTCAGGCCGAGGGTCAGACCCGGTCAGACCCCAGTCAAACGGTCAAATGGGTCAGACCTTTTTGACTCTCGGCCTGGCCTCAGACAACACTGGGTAGAACGGTTGCTGTTGTTGTTGTTGTGGTTGTTGAGGAGGAGGAGGGAAGCCAGGGAGTGGAGATTGTTGCGTGCCGTATACGTCCCCGCGTGGCGGGGCGGTTCGCGGGCGAGCGGGCCCGCTGTGCGAGCGTTCCATTGGCGCGGGTCCGTTGTCAAGCTGCTCGCAGCCAGCGCCGGTGAAGTGCGTGCCGCGCCCATTGCGAACCGAAGGGGTCGGCTTGGGACATGGAGGCAGTGAGGTGGCTCCAGTGGCCGATGCGCGTGCGATGGCATCACCCCTTCAAGTCGTCGTGAGTTCCCAGAGTGGTCGAGGACAAGGACGAGTGGAGAGCCTCGCCATCATTGATGGACAACTTCTTTTTCGGGTGCCTCTATTACAACCCAATACCAACCCCCAGTTCAGTTTCGGCCAATCTAAATATTTTCTGAGGAACGTGTCTAGATATCGGACTCGGGGTGATGTTATCGGGAGGTCAAGCGAACACGGGTCCGATTGTCTCTGTGATCATATCTGGTGACCTCGTTCACCCACCCTCACGTCATCCTGCACTTTATCGCATTGAAGTCCCGTGTACTCTAAATGGAGTCGAATCAGCTCCGCAAGATCGAGAATTATCCAAACCGACCGATCACCTCAACTGTTCAACACCACACAATCAATCCAACCTCCCATCTAGTTCGATCTAGTTCAATCTTCAACCATCCGCGAACGATCTCCCCGTCTGCCAGCGTATTCTGACAGTTTCGCTATGTCCGCTCATCGCCATGCGTGCGTTTACCGTCCCGCTCCCGACGCTGTCCTTCGTTTGCCGCCTCACCGCCCCTCCTCGATCCGATATGCCTCCCAACCGTGACATCTTTTTTTCTGTTCCGTTTCGGGTCAGTTCTGCCCACCCCTCTTCACCAATCTGAAGTTACAGCCTCATTTGCAATTAGGAATACTCTACTACCTCTTACATATTACATCCCGCTCTTCCACCGTTCTCAGCCCGTCTTTCTTTTGTCGACGTCTCGTTCCTCGTCTTGTTCCTTATCCATTTCGTCCAGCTTCCCCTTGGATCAACTCAAACTATCTATCTGTAGCTATTCGCTTCCGAAGTGCTGAAAAATTGTAAGTAGTTCGGAAGTTGGAACGCGGAGCGCACGATGGGACCCCTCGTCCCTCCTTAATCATTAACACAGTCTATGCAGTTTCTTTCGCCGACACCCCATCGTATGCAGGATCCGAACTAGCCATGAAACGGGTCTGTAGGCTGCTGGACACCCCTCATGATGCTGGGAAGTATATCTAAGTGCACGGCGGGTTCGAATCCCTCGAGACCCACTACATCGATGGGCGGGATCTTCTTTGGGCCTGGCTGGTTGACACACCCTTTTATTCAAGTTCTGAACCAGACAAGAAATGAGTCTGTAGGTCGCCACGCACCGCTGTTTACCTGACAGAAGAAATAAGTGCTCACGCACGGCGGGGATTCAAATCCCATTCCAACACATTGCCTTTTACCTTTTCTTGTGGACTGACGAGCCCTCATATTTAAGTTCCAAAATACGATCGTAAAGGGTCTTCAGGCTGCTGGACACCCCTCATGAGGGCTAGAGGTATGTGCAAGTGCACGGCGGGGTTCGACTCCCTCAAGACCCATGCTAGCTTTCTCAAAGCTTTCTATATTTTTTCTTCTCTTCTTTCATCTTGCCGGTTGACACGCACTTGTATTCAGGTTCCGAAGTAGCAATGGAATGACGCTGTTAAACACCGTGCACCGCTGATAAAGGATCCGGTGCGCAAGTGTCAGTGCACGGCGGGGGTTCGATCCATCAGTCCTTTCCTTTTGACATGACTCGCAAACGGGACCGCTACGGTTAAAAGTTAATGCTTCCTTACTTCCTTCCTTCCAGCTCACACCCAGCACCTTCAGCCTCGTCCCTGCCGTGAAGGAGGATATTCCTCGCTTCTCGGAAATCTCAACCGCGGCCTTCACGACCGCCTCGCACACCCTGGTGAAAGCGCAAGCCGATGGTCTTTCCATGGGC